CTACTACTACTAAAATTATTAAAACCTTATTTTAAGGAATAATCATACAATATTTCTTCAATGTTTTAATTGTAATATTAAATGACCTTTATTTTCCAAAAAATTACATTTGTTTAATTTTCATTACTTAAAAGATAGATTAAATGAATATTGTATGCCTTAAAAATGTAAATACACAACACAGAATTTCTGAGCAAAAAATCATAAGGCTAAATCAGAATTTCAGAAACACTGAATAGTATTATGAACTAACAATTAACTAGCAATGAATTATAGCATTTATTAATCTAGAGCAGTGGTGGTGAACTCCGGTCCTAGAGAGCCGCAGCCCTGCAGAGTTCAGCTCCAACCCTAATTAAAACTCACCTGCCTGTAGCTTTCTAGTAACCCTTCAGACCTTGATTAGCTTGTTCAGGTGTGTTTGATTAGGGTTGAAGCAAAACTCTGCAGGGCTGCGAGAGAATGATTCCTAAACCCGGAAATGTCTTAGCATTTTTGCATTTCTGGTTTCACTGTGCCGATATCAATGCTTCTTCAATTCTTTTTTCGTTAAATCACTGAAATATGGTCTGTGGTTAGCACAAAGCACAAGATATTTTTACATTTTATTCTATGAGATAAAACGTAAAGAGGAAAACTCATCTACTTACTAGCTTGCTTTTTTACTCAAGCTGTATTTTATTGGTTTTACGCTCTCACTCTTGCAAACTTGCCAATCTGTAGATTTTAAATAAAGACCAAAAGAGTTATCAGAAGCTTAGTGGTGGTGATATCGAAGTCAACCGTTGTGTAGTTTCTTTTATAGCTTCTTCATAGCTTGTTTTTTTACTTCTATTGATTGTATTTATAGCTTCTTCATAGCTTGTTTTTTTACTTCTATTGATTGTATTTATAGGCTTCAAAATTCATAGAAGTTGGGTTCAAGCTTGGGTTAAGCTTATTGTAAAGTGTTACCATTTACGCTAATTGAGGCAACTGACACTTCGCAAAGAACCTTAGTTGCTGCTGTTACTACTTTCTTCAAGCCACTGCACTTTCACACCACACATTGTGTTCTCATGCAGTGAAAAATACATTCCAGAGCAAAGAGGACACTAACAACATGCTGACAGACAAGACAGAGCAGGTTACTTTTGGTATGAAACAAAATGTCAGCTTTCAAAATTCGTAATTTTTTTTTTAAGAAAGCAAACAATAAATACCATTTTGTGACTCTTTAATGTGTTGTGACAGATCGCTGTACCTCAGTTCAAGCGGCTCGTGAACCGGTCATTTCTTACTCTTTACTAGTTATAGCACAAAATAAACATGAATGAACATCAGAAGGTACCTTGTTTCAAATGCGGAAAGACGTCAATACACACCATTTTTCAAGTTCAGGTCCACCAACATTAATTTACTCTCCGGTCTGGTTTGTTTGTCGGACAAAATGGCAGATTCGGCGTTATGATTGGTCAGATCGCCTGTCAATCAAGCCTCCAGGCGAAGGGTCAGTTGTGTTTGTTTAACTGTCATAATGAAAAAGATTTAATTAAAGTGGAAAGATTAAATCAGGTAAATCATTACATAAAATGCTTTGTGCCAAATAACAACATCCAAACTGCACATCAACACGCTCACATACAGCCATCATAACAGACAGCCCAACAGGATTCAATACGCTGCTTTTCATCAAGCTAAACTAGATGATCTCATCCCTGGTTGCTAGTGCAGCTCTCTAACCAAATTAACCCTCCCCAATGTCCCTCCCCTTTCCCCCAGCAGCCACATCTCACTGTCTCCTATCATCAGAGTCAAAATTTATCACACACTGTAATGTGGCTTCACGTCCGTTTACACTCAAGCACACACAGAGCACAGGACATGCTTGAAAAGTACCTCCATCTGCACTGTTCATGGTCTGGAAGCAAAATTACTCTGTGAAGTGTCATGTAATATTAGATATTAAGATTAAGGAGAGCTGCTGTGGTGAGATCATAGCACTGATATCATGGTAACTCGTTTCCTGTGCTTATATGCTTATATGTCTTGTCCCAAGGCAAAGTGTTTTAGATTTTTGGGGTTAGAATTTCTCTGCAAAATATTTTTTTAGCTCATTGAGAACATACACATATTATTTTAACCTCATTTCAATGCAAAGAATATTGTTCAGACAACCAGTCAGTAAAATAAAAACTGAATAATTCACTAAAGAAGATGATCAGGTATTGTATCATCCTAAAGGGATATAATTTGCCATGGAATATTGATTTGGTTTGAAATTATTTGATTATGTGAATAGAAAGACCACAGGGTGCCGTGACAGATGTGGAAATACCAAAATCTCAGTATACAATTTTTTTTACACAGCTCTCTGGAATACTTGATTCTGATTGATCAGTTACGGCATTCTGTGATCAAATATTTTTGTATAATGATTTTATTTGTCTTTATGAACTGTGTATTGGACTGTTTTCTCTGACAAGCAGTCTCTGCACTGTGCTAAGTATAAGTATCACATATCACTCTATTGTCTCTTTAATCTTGCATCAATATTTTAATGTCTGTTTATATATTTTGTCAGTTATATAATATTTGGTTTGTGCAAAGAGCAGGAAAACACACAGTCTGACAGACAGTATGTTGTTTGGCAGAATATTGATGGCCACACAGTGACCAGGATCTGTCAAAGTCCAAAAATGACAATTGGTCTATAGGTGCTGTCACATTTACCACTGTCCAGACATTCAGACATTAGGAGTCCATGTAATCTGGAATTTTTTGTGAGTGTGAAAGATGTCTGCACACGCTAGATTACGCTACGGGTTATAGCTGGTCACACAAATTTGCTGCGTTGACCAATAAAAAGCTGTTTTGTTTGAAAGTAACTTCTTTGTGAGCTGTGAATCGGTACACTTGACAATGAACACTTGAACAATGTACCTTTTTAACTGCCAAATTTTACCCACATTTCACTAATGTGACTGCACCTTAAAACAGTGGTTCTCAAACTGTTTGAGAACCATATTTTCCAAACACAATATTTGAAAAATATGTTGGTTTACATTTTCCCGTTTTAGCATTTTAATTCAAATAAGAGTTATGTTATTTTAATATATTTATAATAATTAAATAATTTAACTTAATACTACACTATACTCACTTGAAGCCATGTTATAGCTTTGTTTGAGGAACAGGCTGAAATTTGAATCATCATTTACTGAGTATTCAAACTTGGAAGATATGTCACAACAGGTTTACTCAAATTAACTTTTTTTTTTTTGTGAGAAATTATAATTTTTTTGTAAGAATTGTCCCTTAAAATCTGTTGTTTAATGTTATGTAAATGACCACAAATGCTATTTTCAGATATTGGCTGAATGTATTAATATAATTGATACCTAAATAAGTAAATAACATTTACAGGTACTGAATATACATTTTGATGCATTATGTTTTGCGTAATCATGACTCACATGGTTTCTTTTTAACCAGCAAACAATTTGAAGTACTGATCTCTCTCTCTCTCTCTCTCTCTCTCAATATTTATGTAGATTGAGTGGAGTGTTCCAGAAGAAAAGAGGAAATCTTGTGTTGCTAAGGGAAAAACAGAGGTAAACTCATAGTGTATGGTGTGTGTTTGATGTGGGGGGATGTAAAGAGCTCAATAGCAAGCAAACAAATGACATGAACCTTGTGAAAGGGTTGGAAGAGATCCTACTTCCAAAATCCACCATTTTCCTGCTTTGTTTATTTTTTAGGAATGTTTTTAAGGGTGCCATTAGCACTGGACCAATATGACAGTAGTCACACTTTCACTGACTCAGCAGCGTGGATGCAGCATCATTGCTAAATTAAATATTTCCAGTTACAGATACCACTGTAGAAATGCACTATTCACAGAAAGCAATGATTAATTTATTCTGTGAGTAAAAGTGTCCAATAACAGGGGGGTTACCAAGATGAGTAATGCTGTTTTTCTAAACTAAAATTTATTTCTTAATGTTTAAACCTTTTTAATATTAAAAAAATATATACTGAGTGCATATTTACTCTTTAGTATCGTTCCCGGTGTGCACGTCATTCTCTCTGTCCTTCTCTCACTTGAGGGTGGCACATGCAGCGAGTGTGTGTGTGTGAGCGATAATGAGCTCACTTATTTGTGCTTAGCATTCATTGCTACATTGATGGGGGGTGGGGCTTGTGGGTGATTGACAAGTGGGCTGAGGCCCTAATGGGGGAGGGTCAGAAAGGGTGTGATTAGGCAAACAAAAGGTATGTCGTGATTAGACTTGTGCCGGTATTCGGTAATGCGATATATCACGGTAATGAATATGCACGATATTGTTATCGTGGGCTCTTCTAAATACCGTGAATAATTATATATTACAAGTTATTCAGAATTTTGAATGCATTTAAGAATACTTTTCCCATCAACTGGTCAAAATGCACAACACCGCCGTATGCTGCATGAAAGATGCGTGCGCACTCTGATGTAAACAAGCGCGGACGAGAAGCACATGGCGGAACATGTGCGAGACGCTCTGGATGAAAGTGCACTTTCACTCAGATGGCGCTAAACTGCAGAAATAATAATAATAATAATAATAATAATAATAATAATTCATATAATTCATTTAATAATAATAATAATAATAATAATAATAATAATAATAATAATAATAATAATAATAATAATAATAATAATAATAATAATAATAATAATAATAATAATAATAATAATAATAATAATAATAATAATAATAATAATAATAATAATAATAATAATAATAATAATAATAATAATAATAATAATAATAATAATAATAATAATTCATTTAAATGCAGTCGTTACCCCGAAAACCCTGTAAACAAAGCAGCTGCACTACTTTCTGTTTCTGAATCGTGTTTAAATGATTTAAACAGCCATTCAGATTTGTGTATTTGCTATGATGTTCATCACAGCGCCAAATACTTAAATATTTAGACTTAATAGGCTATTTATTTTCAAACATTTTTTACATTTTAATCTGGACTACAACATGCCCTAGATATTGTTTGAAAGTGTTTTGATTCTTTATTGTTCGGTCACACTTTACATTAGGGCTTCATTAGTTAACATTAGCTTTTGCTCATTGTGAATGTTAATGCATTAACTAAGGTTAACTAATGAGGTCTTATTGTAAAGTGATACCTATTGGTCTTTATAGTTCTTTTGCACTTTAATCTGTGTAAAACTTTTAACTTTATACATTTTTCTGTATTGCTTTATTGCATTTAAATGTTCAGTTATTTTTGTTATAAGAAAAAAGTTATTAAATTTATTATGTCAGCACTTATTTTAAACTAAATTTCAATACCGTGATAAAAGCATTAGCAATTAATCGCAACATGACAATTTGATACCGGCATATCCCTAGTCGTGATAGAATGGAGGAGAGGAAACAAAAAAAGAAAGATTTGAAGGAGTGAGCTAATTGACCCTGGAGACTTGCGACTGGTCATTTGAATGAACACTTTTCCCTCTCACACATTCACATTCGATTAAAACACACGGAAAACTCTGAATCGATTACTGAGAGCTGGGCTCTCATTAATCTTTATTGATGTACTTAATGGTCTGTCTAGTCCTGAAATTGAAACTTTTCAAGTAAAGCCAGCTGGTTTTAATCAAAATTAGAGCCTGGCATATGTGATGGGATGCATTTGTGAATGAAAACCTCTTGTTTGCCTTATATTGTGAAATGTCAATCATTACCAATTAACTGTGCCCTTTGAAGGATAAAAAGGGGAGGGGCTACTGTAGAAAATGCCCTGGGGTCTCAGATACAGCCCATTGGGGTTCAGGTTACCAATAGCTGTTATTGATACAGAAACTCTCTTGTTCTTCTCAGCAATGGTTTGAAAGTGACACATTCACATAAGTCAGGTGTCCAGTCCTGGTTCTGGAGGGCCAATGTCCTGCAGAGTTTATCTCCAACGTGTCCCATCATACCTACCTGGTAGATTCTAGTAATCCTTAAGACATTGATTACTTTCAGGTGTGTTTAATTGGACAGTGGCCCTACAGGATCAGTTTTTAGACACCCCTGACATAAGTTGTGAAAAGCATCAGTGCTTTTAAGATATGTGACATCCTGAAACGGCCTATAATGTTATCTTTAATTGTTGAAGAGTCTTATACTGTACGTTTACACTATCAATCAAATCATTAAAATGAGAGCTGCAAGTGACCTTGACTGTAATTGCTAGTTAAATCTCAATTAATTTGCAAATGTAAATTTGAAATGTATCTTTGTCTGTAATATTGTAACATATAACACAAAAGCTTTGATGGTTTGTTTCTGTATATCTGTAAGATTTTTTTTTGTCTCTTTCACCAAGGCTACAATTAGTTGATGTACAATACAGTAACAGTAATACTGTGAAATATTCTTACAATTTAAAATAACTGCTGTGTATTTTAATACATTTTAAATTAAAAATTTTCCTCTGATAACAATCTATAGTAGTATATGTTATTAGTCTTACAGTATGTCTTGCTTTACTCTGCTGCCCCTCACAGGACGATTGCAAGAACTACGTCCGCCTGCTGGAGTTTTTGGGTGAGGGAGGCATATATGCCTGTGGGACCTTTGCCTTTGACCCCCAGTGTGTATTTATTGTAAGTCTGTGTGTTTCCACAACTACACCGACTCAAGCCTTGTCATACTATTAAGTAGGACGATTAAAAAGAAATGCGTAAAATAAGACAGCTATATATATATGTATAGTATTTCTGTAAACCTGTTAGCTTTAGACTAATTGACTGTTTTCCTCCTGTGGTATATGACTATAAGCGTGTACTCCTCTCTCTCTATTATATTTTCTTCTCTATTGCTCATTTCTTTATATTTACGGACAGACAGAAATTATATTTATCTGCCTTCTCTGCCTCATTTAGAACATCTCTTCATTCTCTCTGGAGAAACATGAAGATGGTAGCATGAAAATGGAGACGGGGAAGGGGAAATGCCCCTTTGAGCCCAGCCAGCATTACACAGCAGTCATGGCAGGTATGAAACACATGCTTACTTAGCTATCTAAATAAGGCCATGCGGTAGATATATATTGCTTTTGCACATGGTGAAAGCTAATTATAACCTAAATGCTTACCAAAACACATTGAAAACAAAGAAATGACTTAAAAAGTTTAAAAATAAAAATGTCTCTTTTATTTCTCTCTCTCTCTTTCAGGAGGGATCCTTTACACTGCTGCCACAAGTAACTTTCTAGGCACAATGTATGACATTTCCAGGGCAACAGGCATCGAGCAGGAACGCATCCGCACTGAGCAATCAATCAATTGGCTTAGTGGTAACACACTCATCCATCCAGACAATTTACACCGAGATTGTTTATAACCACACGCTTCATGACTTCTGCCTGTTTCTCAACTCAGATCCAGAGTTTGTCAGTTCTGCCTTCATCCAAGAGGATGAGAAGAACAATCCTACTGGGGAAGATGACAAAATTTACTTTTTCTTCACTGAAGTAGCTAAAGAATATGACCTTTACGCCAAGGTCAAAGTACCCCGAGTGGCCAGAGTCTGCAAGGTAGGAACTAGAGCTGATCTGTTTTCTTGTCTAGCCTCTAGTTTTTTTTATGGCTTGGCTTGGTTGAAGTCTCAGAGGGATGTTGTACAGTAGTTCTGCTGTCAGCTGATATGTTATGTAATTGTACTGTTCCAGTTGAGTTCAGATTTCTTCAGTCACAAAGTTCTTCTATTCTTTGCCATCTGTCTGTTTTTCATCATTTATTTTCTATCACATCTGATCTATCTTGGTCTCTCTCTCTGTTATGTAGTCTGATGTAGGTGGTATGAAGACTTTGCAGAGGCGGTGGACGACGTTTCTGAAGGCCCAGCTGGTGTGTGAAGATCGAGCAAGTGGACAGCGATTTAACGTTCTGACTGATGTGTTCACTGTACAGCACCAGCCTGGAGACCCCAGCAGCACACACTTCTATGGCATATTCACCTCACAGTGGTACTTTGTTCTGCTTCATCTCTGACCTGATTTGACCTTCTGTGCTGGATTCATCTCTTTTGAATTATTTCTTTGCTTTTTATTCCTCCATGCTTGTTGTTTTGTGTGTTTGTCCTGTTGTGTTGATATGTAATGTGTAGGGAAAGAGAGGAGCTGTCAGCCGTGTGTGTGTACAGTCTGGAGGAGATCACTAAGGTGATGAATGGACCCTTTAAAGAGCTGAAAAAGACCTGTGAGAACTGGATTAACCCAGAGCCCATACCAACACCCCGACCAGGACAGGTATACAGCTGCACACTCAACACCATACCGTACCATATAATAATATTATACAATAGATGTTGTTCATGTGTTATTTTATTCACAGTACATACAGACACTAATAGAGCAATGCTGTTGTAGTCATTGGCACTCACGTCACCAATGACGTTGTAATTTTTGGATCACGTCACTTAAGGTACATGATGTACATGAGTACATCAGATGACCACTTCCCCCCTCACTTAATTCGGGGCACTAGTCAAAAACTAGCCAACACTGAAAAAATAACCCACAAAATGTCCCAACAGGCTCAACCAAAACAAACATTTAACCAATCAAAATATATACAGTAGTATTAGTATACATGTTTGCTGGGAAACCAACCCATGAACTTAGAGTTGTTAACATCATGTTTCACTAATTATCTGTATTGATCCTTTCTTCTTTCATAACTCTCAGTGTTTGAATAGTGCTCTGATGGAGCAGGGCTTTGAGTCCTCCCTGAAGCTACCTGATAAAGTGCTAACATTCGTGCGTGATCACCCGCTTATGGAGAACAGTGTGGTGGCAGCACCCCTGATGATCAGAAATGGCATCACATACACTAAACTTGCCGTTACCTTAACAATGGCCTCCAGTGGCCTGAAGCAACACATGACCACTGTTTTGCACCTTGGAACAGGTAAGAGATGTTAAACAGAAAATTAAAAAACAATTATTTAATAATCATCAATAATCATTTAATCATCATGTGTGTTTTATATACATGTGCATGTGCTGATAGATCATGGAGAGCTGCACAAAGTCGCTGTAGTTGGTCCGAATGCAACTCTTATTGAAGAAGTCCCTCTGTTTTCTGCACAGGAGCCAGTGAATAACATATTGCTATACAAAGTAATGACATAAGTTTTTATGTTGTTTAATGTGGTCTATTGTATTATTATTATAATTAGTGATATAAAACAATACTGTATGTTCAATCTGAATTCATAAATTTTGCCTCCCTCCTAAATCATGTTACTAATATTTAGGGACCAGTGAATGGATTAACTGACCTTCTCTGTCTCTCTGCTGTATAGGATGAGGCTCTGGTGGGCACTCCTCTCTCTCTGGTGAAGTTACCCATAGTGGGTTGTTCTCTGTACTCTACCTGCGAGGTGTGTGCACGTGCCCGAAGTCTTGGCTGCGTATGGAGGCATAAAGAGGGAGATTGTGCTTTGAAGTATGTCACAAACAAACACTCATTCACACAAAAGCATATCAGAACACACAGATTGAGTCTTCCTTTGTTCATTGTCGTCACACAGTTACATTTATATTTCAGGCCTGGTGAAGTGGTAGAAGCAGATGATTTGGTCAGGCAATGCAACAAAGGTGAAGGTAAGTCTGACAGTGGTACCTAATTTCTATATTCCATAACTGTGAGATGCTGTCGATCACCACAGACACTCATTTCATCTCTGTGTTTATAATGAACTAGAAATAATTTGATAGTAAATACACTTACAATTGAATTAGGTGAGCAGACTGAAAGGTTTAAAAGCAGAAATGACTTGTCGAAAATTTACAAAGTATATTTTGAGAGATGCAAAACCAAAAATCCATATAGTTTATGAGATTTCTTTAAAGGGGTGGCTCACTGTTTTTTTCTAGGCTTGATTGTGTTTATGGGGTGCAGTCTAACATGTGTTAATGCTTCGTTTATTTTTCACACAATTTACCTTTATTCCACACCGCTCTGTCCCTTCTCTGAGAAACGCGCTGATCATTTCCTGCTTTTATGAAGC